TTCAATTATTTACGAAAATGTCACCGTATTTTTTTTAATCCATTAGATTTGGACACGTGTCGCGCGCTGATTGATTCGCATATTCCTTCCTAGGAGCTTCATTCGCACCTGAGTGCAATTATATATATATATATATATATATATATATATATATATATATATATATATATATATGTATGTATGTATGTATGTATGTATGTATGTATGTATGTATGTATGTATGTATATATATATATATATATATATATATATATACATACATACATACATACATACATACATACATACATACATACATACATACATACATACATACATACATACATACATACATACATACATATATATATATATATATATATATATATATATATATATATATATATATATATATATATAGTCGAGTTCACGTGAAGCTGTGCCTTCCCGTGCATTCGAAGCGGCCGCACCAATAGGTATACGAATATACACCATCCATGTTATGAAATGCACAACAAAAAACATGCACAAATTAGGTACGCATCACCATAAACGCACCATTAAATATGACTAAAAGCACCACACAGTGTTCGAAAATACAACATTAGGGGCGGGGAGTTATATGATGCATTTTTTTGAGTGTGTTGTGTGTTTTTTGATATATTTATGCATTTCATTGTTGTGTTTTTTCCTAACACTATTGATGCCTTTTGTTAATACTGTTGGTATATTTTGTCAAGCGGCCGCATTTGAACAAAAGTATATACATACATACATACATACATATATATATATATATATATATATATATATATATATATATATATATATATATATATATATATATATATATATATATATATATATATATATATATATATATATATATAGGCGGGTTCAGGTGCGGCAGTGTCTTACGGTGCGGCAACACCAATAGTTCAACAAATATGCACCATCAACGTTTGGAAAATACACCACAAAAAACAGAGTAAACAGAGCCCCGCATCACCAAACACACACCATTACGTGTGAGTAAAAACACCATACACTGTTCAGAAATACACCATTGGAGGGGAGCAAGCAAAGCATTTGGTTGGTAATTCTATTTTGATTTAATTATCTTGTGGATGGATAATTGCTTATGTTGGTGGATTATTAAATTAATTGGTTGATTGGTGACTTGGTATTATCTTGGTTGTTATCTTATTGGTTTGGTTATTATCTTGGATATTCTCTTATATTGGTAATTCTTGGATTATTACTATGATTGGTGGCTATTATATTGGTGGATGTCTATAATGGATTATCTCTATTTGAATAGTTATTGATATGGAAAATGCATGGATGAGATATGAATGGTGATTGGTCCCACATAAGCCTATATTTAACATATACACAGAACACAACAAAATTTTCAAAAAATTGGTCCCCACAAGCAAACTTCTCATAATATATCCTTAATCTAACCCAAATATACAACAAATTAGCCCCCACATATCATCTTCTCAGCATATATAAAGCACACGCTAAAGACAATATTACCACTGCTAATTTACACCACACTATACTCACACACACAAAAAATACTCTCAACAACAAACCAATGGCAATAAGAGTATGAAAGATACCAATTTCAGATTATTTTTAACAAAGAATAAGTAACTCGATCTTACTTTCTTGGAGAGTATTGAGCGCACTACCCATTCCACTAGCAGAAGACAACATAGCCATTCGAATGGCTACTTTAGCATGTTCACCTTCACTGTACTTCCTTACTTCTTCAAATTCTCTACTTTCGCATTTTAAGGAGTCGACTGTTCTTCAGTGTTCGTCCTTCTTCATTGTTGGCCATGAATTAGGGTTGTGAAATTAGGAATCGATTTGGCAGATTAAGAGAACGACTAACTTCACTTTGGTCAATTCTCACCTGAACCGGGTCAACAACACTTCAATTCAATTCGGACAATAGTTCAAAATTAGGACCAGACTTCAAAAGACAATTTTTCCCCTCAGATATAGACTAAATGAAGGATTAAGTTTTTCTGTCGAAATTTGGCTGGAAATTTTGCCAGAGTAACCAAAACTGATAAAAATTACATAGTCAAGGTACTAAACTAAAATTTTTGAAAGTCGTGGACTGCAATTAACAGTACCCCTATAGTCACAGGACCAAAATTGAAATTTACTCCTTAGCAAGTAGTCCAAATACTGATGCCGCCACAACATATTCAGTTTCATCAACAATTTCCATATATGTTTTGTACATGTTCATTTTGAAGTTCATATTTTGGAATTAGTATAAATGAGTGTAGTACTTGATTTTGTTTGTGTATGAGTGTGTGTTTTTTGTAAAATTATTTTGTTGAATTGGTACTAACTTTGTAGTACCCCTGCTACTTTTTCACCATAATGCATGCAGTTAAATAGGTTGTCACTTTGTGCATAAACGTTTTTTAAATAGTGGCTACATCCTAGAAAATAAAACGAATTATAAATTTATATTAGTTCTAATATATTTAAAGGATGCACAATAAATAGTTTACATACATGATCAATGAATGCTGCAATGACAGCAATTTTTGAAATTTCTTCATTTTTTGGATTTCCAAGATTGATTGTAGAATTGTTTTTGTCTCGACATCTTTTCAATGCGTCAAATGTGTTACGATGTTCTATTACCCACATTGACATTTTTAATGAGTTTTAAGTGTAGCTACATAAAATAATGATCTTATTAGCATTTACTTATTATTGTCAACATAAAAGCGTACCAATCCTTTAGATGTTCTACTTAGGGTACTTCTGGTTCAATTATTATTGTTGAATGAGTTCATGTGGATAGAGAATTCCTAGTTTATTTAAGGAATAAGATTAAGATAAGGTAGTAAAATTTTATACATTTTAAATCATCTTAATAAAAGAAAATACTACTACCTTTATAGTGAATAAGTGTGATGTAGTCCAGAGTTATTAGGGGTAGTTTCCCGCCTCAATTTCTTGGGTTGTTTGAATATCCTCTTTGTCAACAAATCTTACCCAAGTAGTTAATATGATTAACTTCAAACTGTTTTTTTATGCATTTCAGTCGTATTTTAGTCGTATTTATACAATCAACATAGACTGAGATAATAAACAAATAAATAATTTCATTAACAACCATTTAATGAGCACATAATGACACATATTATTTACATATTCCTTCTTCATGAGGAAAAAAACTCAGTCAATCATTAATCGTTTGAAGTCATATAAAAACCTTTGTAATTCAACGATATACATGTTGTAATTTTCATCTCTTCTCATTTCGAGAACTTTAAATCCATCAAGGATTTGTCCAAATAAATATTAGTATCTAATGACCCTATAATATTCGGTCATGACGCATATCAACTGCATATCCAAATTTATTATTTACTGCCAATGATGTTAAGTAGTGAAACTTAATTCCATCTATTGTAGGAGAATATATTTTACCAAAATCAATTATAGGTCTCTAGATGAACCCTTGGCTACAAAACTTGTTTCATCACACTACTTCATTATCCTTACTCCTCTTACGTACAAACACTCATTTATAACAACATGGTTAACATTCAATGATGTACGTGTTATAAAAAGAATTTATTTTAGCGAGTTAAAACTATGCCTTAATTGCACCTTTATATCTTAAATAATCATGGGATTTCTAGTGTCTAGCTCTGAATCTATATTATAATATGAGCAATTATATAGGCAATTGTGTTGTGTACAACTATAATATTTTATCATAATTTTCTCCCATTTTTATAAAATTTCATGAAAATTTCTAAGTTAACCAGATTTAGCCATTTCCCAACGATATATTGGTCCAAGTTGGGAAGGTATATGAGACCTTGTCACCCTTTTATGTTAAGTATGATCAATAATATATTTGGCAGATTATTTGCTGATATTGCAAATTGATTATCTTTTAAACTTCTAGTTTAACCAAACCTAGTACGTGGGTTTAAATAATATAGATCTTTCCATTGCAAGGAATTTCTTGACATTCTATTAAACTTGAGTTCATATCTCCAGCTAATGTCGTGAAACAATCTTCATAAAATATGCAGTTAGCGTACCTTATTTCTTATTGATACCCTATCATGAGCTCTAGGTATTTAAGTAATAGATGGAGTTTATAATCAACATATATATATATATATATATATATATATATATATATATATATATATATATATATATATATATATATATATAGGGAAGGGATCAGGTGCATTTGTTGCTTCCCGTGCGGTTGTGCCGTGGATTAATGTTCGTGAGATTTATACTTAATGTGCGTGACTGTTGTGCTTAATGTGCGTGAGCTTTGTGCTTAATGTGCGTGATGTTAATATGCGTGAGTTTTGTACTTAATGTGCTTGAGTGTTGTGCTTAATATGCGTGAGATTTGTGCTTAATGTGCGTGAGTAGTTCAGAATTACGAACTCAGAAATAAGCAGAATAGAAAATCACCATATAACTATGCTACTGAAAAGAGAAGCACCCAACTTAAGCCCCGCCAGAGCCATACTTCTTTCCGAAAACTATTAACTGAAGCTTGTCATACCCGGCCAATACACCAGCACCAGCAATAGCACGCAGGATGTTTGCACCAGCACCCTTGAAGAGAGATTTCGCACCTTCATTCTTAAGAATCTGAGCAAAAGCATCAAGAGAGCTCTTGTACTTGACGGCTTCACCAGATGTCATCATCATTCTTCTCCGGACAGTGTCAATTGGGTGAGATGCAAGACCAGCACCATTTGTGATAACCCATCTGAGAACAAAGCTAGCGAAGAAACTATCCTGCAGGTCTCCACTTTTCTACTGCATTTTACACATTCACTCACATTAATCCACCGCACAACCGCACGGGAAGCCACAAATGCACCTGATCCCTTCCCTATATATATATATATATATATAGTGAAAGGTTCCCGTGCGGTTGTGCGGTTATTAATGTGCCTGAGATTTGTACTTAATGTGTGTGAATGTGTAAAATGCAGCAGAAAAGTGGAGACCTACAGGATAGTTTCTTCGCTAGCTTTGTTCTCGGATGGGTTATCACAAATGGTGTTGGTCTTGCATCTTACCCAATTGACACTGTCCGGAGAAGAATGATGATGACATCTGGTGAAGCCGTCAAGTACAAGAGCTCTCTTGATGCTTTTGCTCAGATTCTTAAGAATGAAGGTGCGAAATCTCTCTTCAAGGGTGCTGGTACAAACATCCTGCGTGCTATTGCTGGTGCTGGTGTGTTGGCCGGGTATGACAAGCTTCAGTTAATAGTTTTCGGAAAGAAGTATGGCTCTGGCGGGGCTTAAGTTGGGTGCTTCTCTTTTCAGTAGCATAGTTATATGGTGATTTTCTGTTCTGCTTCTTTCTCAGTTCATAATTCTGAACTACTCACGCACATTAAGCACAAATCTCACGCATATTAAGCACAACACTCAGGCACATTAAGTACAAAACTCACGCATATTAACATCACGCACATTAAGCACAAGGCTCACGCACATTAAGCACAACACTCACACACATTAAGTATAAATCTCACGCACATTAATCCACCGCACAACCGCACGGGAAGCAACAAATGCACCTGATCCCTTCCATATATATATATATATATATATATATATATATATATATATATATATATAGTAGTTAGAAAAAGTACATTATTTGAATACTAAAAATACATTATTTTGTATAATGTTCATTGAGTACACGAATAATGTATTTTTAGTATACTAAATTTTTACTTCTAAGATTAGGTTAACTCCGGTGCGAATAAGTGCCAATGAAGGAATATGTGAACGAATCCGCGCACGACACCTGTCTAGATCTAATAATTTAAAAAAAACACGGTGGCATTTTGATAAATAATTGAACATCAAAGTGCAAGTAAAATCATTTACAAGTGCACCTACTTTCACCTATAAGTGTATGTAATTTTGCCTTGTTAACATTCACTTCCCGCAACCATTCATTCACCTAGGTGCAACTACTTATAACTATAAGTGCAACTACTTATAATTATAGGTGCAACTACTTATAACTATTGGTGCACCTACTTTCACATATAAATGCATGTAATTTTGTCTTGTTAACATGCATTCACTTCGCGCACCCATTCATTCACTTGGGTGCACCTACTTATAACTATAGGTGCAACTACTTATAACTATAGGTGCACATTCTTTCACCTATAAGTGCATGTAATTTTGTCTTGTTAACATTCACTTCCCGCAACCATTCATTCACCTGGGTGCACCTATTTATAACTATAGGTGCAACTACTTATACCTACAGGTGCAACTACTTATAACTATAGATGCAACTACTTATAACTATAGGTGCACTTCGTATTGATACTCAGTGTAAATTTTACTTGCACCTATAATACATTTTACTTGCACTTCGATGTTCAATTATTTATGAAAATGCCACCGCATTTTTTTTAATCCATTAGATTTGGACACGTGTCGCGCTCTGATTGGTTCGCATATTCCTTCATGGGTCATGGGAGCTTCATTCGCACTTGAGTGCAATTCTCTCTCTCTCTCTCTCTCTCTCTATATATATATATATATATATATATATATATATATATATATATATATATATATATATTATGCCTAGAAGGTAAACTAAGAACACTAATTTTTCAATATCACCCTTTAGACCAAAACCTTGATAGTGAATGTTTGATAAAAAAAGATCTACAAATCTTATGTTAATCCCTGAAGGATTGATATGATCAACAAATTGTTATAATCATCCAAGTGGTAGAATTAAAAAGTGACTCTATAAGCCTCCAAGGCTAGTTACTTTGTATTCCAGTAGTACTACATGACAAAATCATACTAAATAGTATGAGTTTTTTTGTCTACTAGGTTAATCACCTTGTACTCTAGTAGTAGTACATGACCATATTATACTAAGTAATTTGGGTGTCTTCAAGTTTTGAAAGATACATCAAAGACTTAGCTTTAGCGGGAATACACTCTCTAAGTTGTTGAGTATTTCCTTGCTTGATAATGTGCTTGGACATTGAAATATTTTTCGATAAGCTATGGAAGATCTTAAATGAGAATTAATCTTTGGGTGACTAATGAATGAAGTCCGCAACTTCTATCTTTAGTGCTATGCTACTCTTCCAAAAATGCTATGTGTTTAATAATTAGAAGTGAATTGAATCACATCATGCTGGTATGCCTGAAACAAACAAGTTGTGAATATTTTATGATAATGAATTTTCAAATGTTGAGATTCGAAAATTTGGAGAACTTGAATGATATGCACTACTAATTGATATTTAACTCCCTTATCTGTATGTTTTTTATATCTGAATATATGTGTTATTTTTAGATGAGTGCATTTATTTTCAAGTACTCCATCTCTTGCAATAAATTTTAAAATTATTGATGACTTGGTTATTTGAAATTGTGGCATAAACCATTGAGTTATTTTAGGCAAAATATGATGAGTCAGTTTTTAATCTTGTTAGAGATCATATATATATATATATATATATATATATATATATATATATATATATATATATATATATATATATATATAGTGAAAGGTTCCCGTGCAGGTGAATGCTTCCCGTGCGGTTATTAATGTGCGTGAGATTTGTACTCAATGTGCGTGAGTGTTGTGTCTAATGTGCCTGAGATTTGTACTTAATGTGCGTGAATGTGTAAAATGCAGCAGAAAAGTGGAGACCTACAGGATAGTTTCTCCGCTAGCTTTGTTCTCGGATGGGTTATCACAAATGGTGCTGGTCTTGCATCCTACCCAATTGACACTGTCCGGAGAAGAATGATGATGACATCTGGTGAAGCTGTCAAGTAAAAGAGCTCTCTTGATGCTTTTGCTCAGATTCTTATGAATGAAGGTGTGAAATCTCTCTTCAAGGGTGCTGGTGCCAACATCCTGCGTGCTATTGCTGGTGCTGGTGTGTTGGCCGGGTATGACAAGCTTCAGTTAATAGTTTTCGGAAAGAAGTATGGCTCTGGCGGGGCTTAAGTTGGGTGCTTCTCTTTTCAGTAGCATAGTTATATGGTGATTTTCTGTTCTGCTTCTTTCTAAGTTCGTAATTCTGAACTACTCACGCACATTAAGCACAAATCTCACGCATATTAAACACAACACTCAGGCACATTAAGTACAAAACTCACGCATATTAACATCACGCACATTAAGCACAAAGCTCATGCACATTAAGCACAACACTCACGCACATTAAGTATAAACCTCATGCACATTAATCCACCGCACAACCGCACGGGAAGCCACAAATGCACCTGATCCCTTCCCTATATATATATATATATATATATATATATATATATATATATATATATATATATATATATATATATATATATATATATATAGTAGTTAGAAAAAGTACATTATTTGAATACTAAAAATACATTATTTTGTATAATGTTCATTGAGTAGACGAATAATGTATTTTTAGTATACTAAAAATGTACTTCTAAGATTAGGTTCAAAATGTTTTAGTCTAATAAGATTGGTGGCCTAAATGGGCTAGCCCTAAATTTAGTGACCTAGTTTGATAGACCGAACCACTTAAGACTATTTTTTTAAACAACAAAACTTTATTAACTGCGAATAGCCGATGGGAAGCAAAGCCCCAGAGATCATACAAAAGAGCCAATTGGACTTTTACAGGCAAGGAATTGAGAAAATAAAAAATCATGGAAGAGCGCTTAGACCCGTCGTCGCAAGAGCATCGGCAACTTGATTAGCCTCTCGGTAGACATACCTAATCGAGGAACCCCACCTCAAGAGGCATGAGCGAATGTAGAGAGTAGCTTCCTTTATGTTCCACGGGATCCTTGCCGTCGCAGAGGAAGCCAAACTAGCGAGGGTGAGAGAATCCACTTCAACAACTAAATGCCGCATAACAATTGTGTCGCACAATTGGAGTGTAAATTGCAAGGATAACGTGTCTGCTTCAAGTGTTGAGGAGGCCTCCAGGCGGAAACATAGCCTCACTACGACTTGCCTATGAGATTCCCTAAGGCATGATCCGCCCGTTGTGCCGTTTGTTGATAAGATAACTCCCGTTTTAGTTTTAACCTTCCTGATGGCGGTGCAAGACACTTAACCCAGATTGTCGCTTTTCGGGGAGGAGTAACGAACCTGGCAATCAACCCTTTTGAGAGAAGAAAGGGCGTCATGTGCACCCATGCATCAAGTAGGCCGAGAGTGAGAGATGAGCACTGACTCATGCTTGATCCATTTGATAGTGCCGGAGGTGGAGAAGAAAGTGTCATCATTGATGCACACGTTGTATGAGATCCATAGGAACCAGAGCACTAAACATGGAATTAAGCACGCAAAGCATTCTTTCATTGAGCCCGGAGCAGCAAGTAGCCTCCAGGCATGGCACACAGCCCACACCGAGCTAGCATTGCTCAAAGATAAACTGAAGATCCCGCCGAAATGCCTCCAGACTTCCTGAGCGCGACTGCACCGATAGAGGTGATGCGTAGTATATTTGCAAACAAATAATTCTCGGAGTACGAGTTATCGATCCACAGGGAAGTGGTTGTATCAAGCACTAGTTACTAACTTATTCATTAGAGCTAATCCTAACAATTATTTAGATGATTGATTGGCATAAAATAAATAAAATAAAACAGAGGTTCAGGATTTTGAAAACAATTAGAGAGAAGTTGAGATTCATGGGATTCAAGTATTTAATCACCTAGTGCCAATTATCGTTAGCAATATTTAGTTTGGAATTAAGATTTGTGTGGGAATGCAAAGTGGAATCGAATTACTCCCGTAATCTCTATTCCTAGTGAATTTCCACTCCCATGGCTTAAACACCCAATAAGATCAAAGATCAGCATTCAATTATTCCTAATTACTACCATCTCCCGATTGGCAACAATCTAGAATAAACTTCCCCTAATAAGTTCCCCTTTCCCAAGGACCAACCATTAGGTGCAATCGTGTGTGCCCTAATTTATGCCCCAACTCCCATTGGTGACGCAAACAATGGCTATGAAGCTAGTAACTATGGCCATTAATTACAAGCATCAAACAATATTATCACGATTGCAACACAAGTATTAAACCCAAATAATAATATATTAAAGAAACTGAGAGCTCAGGCACATAGGTTCATAAACACTTTTACCCAAGAATCTCTAAAGAATTTAGCCAAGCATGACTAAATTATACATAGCAAATATAAATAAAGAATTACAAATCATCAAAAGAGTACAAGAATTAACCAGACGATTTTCCCAAATCTCCCTAGTCTTCTTCTTGCTTTCCAAGACAACTTGTGGCTCTTGATTTCTCTCCTTCTTGTCTCCAAGAATCTCTGAATTCTCTCGGTGTCCGGTCTCCCGTCCTCCCATTAGGGTTGAGGAAGGAGGGATTTTATAGTGGGTACAAAGTTGAGATGAAATAGGAATCTTGTACCAAATTGGACTCAAATTCTAATTCCTATATTTAAATAAAGAAATTGTCGTCTTCAATGATATTTAGAATTTGGAAGATTCCTTGAATTGCTAACTTTTAATATGGAGATACGAGCCTTGAAATCCGCGCAATTGATATTAGGAAAAGAGATCTCGCGCTTGTATTGAATTTTTCCCAGCTGCGCCACTTTAGGCGTCTGTTTTTATCCCAGAAATAGACGCCTATTCTCTCGACGCGTCGAGAATTTTCTCCACGCGTCGAGACTTCCTGTGCGCGAATTAGTTAGCTACTGGAAAATTTCGACGCGTCGAGTCCACTGGGCCACGAACTCATCCAAAATTGCTCCAAACTCATCCTTGAACTTCCCTTGCTCATAGAATTGACCTACAATGGTTCAAAAACACTAACAAACACCGTAAAACATTCAAAACAAGTACGAACCATAATTAAATGATAATAGCAAGGAAAACCTGTATTAAATAAGCAAAATTAAAGAACTTAGTTACTGGATGATTCAAAATAACCGTAAAAATAAGCACAGATGTGATAACATCACCCCCTCACACTTAAGCTTTTGCTTGTCCTCAAGCAAAACTAAGGAATAAAATCACAAGTCAAAACGTACAAATTACTCATGCTCTCTCTTGCACAACCTTTCAAACCACCAACCCACTTGCTATAAAATAACAAGCTTCAAGAATCAAATTAGTTTGGCACATAAGAGACCCATTTCCAAGCCAATAACCAAGCACCAAGAATTTAAAGCATGTGAGGATCAAATGTGCACAAATACTCAGTTGAGATTATGCAAGATACGGTTCATGAATGAGATCCCTTAGGCTTGCCTTTCATACTCCCCTAGATCAAATCTAAGAATGCATGCTAAGATCAAATAGGACTTTATTAAGCTTGTAATGGGGCTACGGGTGATGGCTAACAAAGAAGTGGTATGGAAAAATTAATCAAAAAGAGAGAATGTCACAATTTATCTAAACTTTTCAAAATTTGGAAGAGATGAGATAATCATAATACCAAGGAGCAAATTTCTTTTAAGAACTTAGCATCTCTTTGGTAAAGTGGGGATCCAAACTCAAAAACTTTCAATCTCTTTTTTTTTTTTCTTTTCATTCTTTTCTTTGTCTTTGGACTTCTTTTGGGTACAACAAGATAATTTTAATCCAAACTTTCATGACCCCCACACTTGAACATTTGTAACACTAGCTGCTTTTTTTTTTCGTAGCACAACTCCATAAAACTCTTCTTACCGAAAAGATAAAGATAAAAGTTTCATTCTCTCAAGGGTGGAAGGGAAATATTTGGCCACGGGCTAAGGGTTATAATAATGGGGTAAATCAAAGAAAAACAATCACAAAGCGGGGATAAGTGCTTAGCACTTATTTGAACAAACAAAAGGCACAATGGGGAAACGGAGGATAAAAATATATATAGGGACAGGTTTAAAGGCTATGGCTAAACAAAAATGGCCTAAATCACTTCAAAACATGCAAAACTTAGACATCACTTAGGGAGTAATGAGGCAAGTTCTAGCAAAACACCCATGACCGGAATCTCACATAAGCCTTCACTAGCAATGCAAAACACAAGATCAAGAATTAATTCAATTATTAAGTGGTTAACAAAGCTATTGGCAAGGGAATAGATCAAATATGTGTTACACCTCGAATCATCCATCACAAATTGAGATGCAGCAAGCACCACTAAAACAAACCACAAACCAACAAGAGAGAATAATTGTAACTGCATGCTAAGACAAGTAGCTTATTCACCAAAAATAGCATATGAGTCATCCAAGCAAAAGCAAAAATTTTAAAAATTTAGAAATATCCCCAAATTAATGATTCCTCCCCCTCACACTTAAAACTTTGCATCATCCCTGATGCAAAATAAAAGAAAAGGAGAACAAGAGAAAAGAGAAAACTAAAAAGCAATAAAATAATCACGAACTAGAAAATAATAAAACTAAATAAGACGAAACTAGAAAGCAATAAATAAATAGGGAAAGTAATAAAAGATAACATGGGGTGCCTCCCATGAAGCACTAAATTTAATGTTGTTAGCTCGACGTTACCTCTCTAGCCATCAGGTGATTGGAGAAGAAAAATCCCCTTCTTTCCATCAACTTTCTCTTCCAAGTATTTCTTCAAGTGGTGTCCATTTATAAACTCTCTTAAGCTCGAACCCTTCACGTCATCATGTAAGGAACCACATTTGCCCGAATCAAGAATTATGCCTCCATTCTCTTTTCCTTCTTTTTCAACACTTTTTTGTTCAACAAGTAATGAGAGTCTCGGATCATTCACATGAACCAGCAAGTATTGGGAATCATTGGATATATAGATAGGCAAATGTGTGCCATTATCCTTAAGAACTCCAATGCCTCCCAAATTCAAAATTTCTCTGAAGTTCTCTCCAAGGGAAGTGTTCTCCATTGGTGAGACATCCTCATTCAAATCATGTGCTCTATTGAGAACTTCCTCATCTAATGGGCAACTCTCTATATGTTCCTTGCCATCATTACCTTGCAACTCTACATTTTC